ATAAAGTGACGAAGTGAAGAAAATGAAAAAAAAAAAAAAAAAACAGAAGATAAATACGTCAAGAACAAGAAACAAAAAAAGAAAAAGAAAAGAAAAATTATTGTTGTTGATCACAAATCATGGATACGAAAGATTAGAAGTGAAAAAAAATTCTAAGGTGGGCAAGTTATGTTTCAAACAGTAAATTGGTTTGTTTTTGTTTTTGACAAAAAAATGTTGGCCATTTAAACATCGAATTGAAGATTCATAAAATGGAACGAAACAAATTGAAAAAGAATGGCACTTATAAGGATAATCTGTGTGTGTGTGTAAATAGTGTGTGTGTGGCCATAAATTATGTGTAAATAGTGGTGGTGGTGTTTCTGGGTGATCAAACAAACAAACAGAAAAAAAGTGGAAATCAATAAAAATTTTCTACACACGATGCATATTGATATATATTTTTTTTTGAATAAAAAAAATTCCACCATTTCTTTTTTTATTGCAGAAACAAAAACTGAATAAGAAAAAATGTCCAGCGGCTGTTCCATTTACTGATGTGATTGCGATTGATAAGATTCATTCAAATTCCAAAAAAAAAATTGAAAATCTTTTTGTGTAGCCAGAATTTTTTTTTCATCTTCTGAAAATTATTGATTATACGAAAAAATCTAACCGGAACATTTTAATCGACCTTTATTAGGAAAAAGTGGCCAGTTATCACGTATACCCATTAACCAACCTTCTTCTTGTTCTTCTGGATCTTCATATTGTATAACATGTAATATTTCACCACTTTCAAATGTTAATTCATCATTATCTTCGGCTGCATATTTATATGTTGCTTTTACCTATGGAAAAAAATTCAATTTCAAAAAATTAAAATCTACATTTCAAAACAGTAAAAACTTACCTTGTATAAAACACCAGGCGGTAAATCTACAGTCGTAGCTCCAATTGGAATTTCATAAAGTTCTTCTTTTTTATGATTCTATAAACATGTTTGAAATGAATAAATTATTAAGTAATCTTTGAAAATTTAAAAAACAAAAATGTTTTACCATTCCATCATTATCATTACAATTTCCATTCGATTGATTTGTTTCACCATTATGTTGTTGTCCATCACCATCACCATTTGTTTCTTTATTAGCCGATGATTTTGTTAGCGATGTTTTTAATAAATGTGGTGGTGCTATCGGTGATTCTTGATCCGATTCCATTGATTTATTCATATTCATATTATCCATTGATTCAGATTCGGAATTCATTTGTTGTTGTAGTTGTTGTTTATCATCATTCAATTGATGATCAACATCTATTGATGATGATTTTTTATCCACTTTTGTTGGTGAATGTTGTTGTTGTTGCTGTTGTTGTTGTTGAATTTGGCTTAAATAATGGCCAGCATCCGATTGAAATGTACCTTTTGCCGCTTCAATTGCTAATTGTTCAATCATTTCAGCTAATTTATGATCAACTTTTGAGTATTCTTGATGAAATTGTGTTTCCGAATTAAATAATGTTTGAAACATATTTATATAGAATGGTATACGGCTATCATATAATGCAGGTAATTCTTCATGTAATTCTTTATTCAATACTTCATATAAACGTCTTGATTCATCCATTTGTTCACGTGATTTTGTTAATTTCATATCATCACGTTTTTTTGATGCAGCTTGTATTGTTTCATGATTATGTCGTGCAGCATCATAATCCAATAATTTACGACCACGTTTATCGATTTTATTCTTTGTGAAAATGAAGAAGAAAGAAAAGGAAGGAAGAGAGATAAGGAAAAAGATAAAGAAGAAACAAAATGTTACAATAATTTTCAGCAAAAGACAAAAGATTATCATTGATACAAATCTCATCACGATCTTTATTCAATGAAATGAAATGAGAAAAAAACTTACTCGAATTTCTGAAAATTGACTGAGATAAGTGCTCAATGGTATTGTACATTGATCATTTAATTTATGGCATAAATCACCCCATAACATTTCAATTGATTTTATACGATCAGGTATTGATTCCTGGCCAGGCCAATCATTTTCATAAATATCAGCCATACAATCTAATAATGACTTAGATGCTGATTGCATTTCTCTTGCACATGTTGCATAATTTTTCATTTCTTTTAATAATCTTGTTGCATTTGTTTGTTGTTTATTAAAATTTGTTTGATAAATTTCAAATAATTCATCAGTGGTACGATCTTTTTTGCCAAAATTTTGTAAAAACTAAATCAAGAAAAAATAGAAAAAAAGAAAAAGAAAAGTGTGAAAAAAAATTTACATAAAAAATCAATAAAAAAGCCAACCAAATTGAAGATTGATTTTTGATTGAAACATTAAACCAGAACGAGAAAGGAAAAAAAATCGGATAAATCTAATCTGGAATTACCGGAAGACAAAATCTGTCAATCTGTTCGAATCCCTATTTTGACTACCGACTATTTCGACTACTTCGGGCAATGGATTTATCATTTAATATTGATTTGATTAGCAGCTGATGATTTTTTTTTTTGCTTTTGTGGAAAAAAAGGCCAACAAAAATCAATCAAATTGCTAAATATATTAAAATTCCATTTTTTTCTTCCCTTCGATTCGAATATGGATTATTATTTTTTCACGTCATCATCATCATCACCTGAAGCAGGCTGTTAATGGGAAAAATCGAACAAACAAACAAAAATACCTGGTTAGAAAACAGCTTATACCTGGTTAGAAAAAACAGTTTTTCTAACGCCTGCCGATCTATTACATAACAAGCTTATGATGATGATGATTTGAAAACCAACAAGTTTTTTCGTTCTTTTCATTCATTCATCTTTCTCTCTCTTTCCACTTTGTTAAACTATTATTTACCTCTATGGAAAAGTCGAAGATTGAAAAAGTTGGGAGATTTTCTTTCTTTCTTACCTACTTCATTTTATCTTCTTGTTCTTCGAGTAACACATGTTAGTTCAAACATCTATTTTAGTTGTAGATTTTTTATTTTTTTTTTATTTTTAGTTAAATTGACCTATTTGAGGAGCGCACAAACAATCAATTCCGGACAAACATTTATTTCTTTTGTGTGTGTGTGTTCGAATGATAATGATGAACGAAACAATCGATGATGATGATCGATTGTGAATGATTCGAATTCGAATTCGAATAAAAAATTATTAAATTGAATGAAAGAAACATGAGATGGATCAATGATGATGATCAATCGAAAATCGATTTGTTTTTTTTGAAAAAAGATACAAAAAAACAAACCAAATTTACACTATATATCACCAGAAATCAGTTCAGTGAACTGAATGGGTTCTTGGTAAGAAAAAAATCTTTATCATTTTTTGTGTATGGTGAACGGGGAAAACTTTTTCTTAATGTTTCTGTTACCACCACCATCATTATCATTATCACAGAACACCTGAAAAAAAACATCATTAAAATGTTGTTGACATTTTCTTTGCTGCAAACAGAAAAATAAAAACAACATTCAAAAATATGTAGGTGTTTATCATTTACAAATTATGTTTGTTTTTTTTTATTTTGGTCGGTCATGACCTGTCATTTATGAACGTGTACATCCAATAAATGTTCGAATTTGAAGGAAAAAAAAACATTCGAATTTGACAACATTCGAAAAAAAGGACAAGTTTTTTTCTTTCGGATCAAGGAAATCCGGAAACCGGATTTTTAGTTTTTGCTGACCTTCATCATCATCAAACGAAAAATAATAATCATAAACCATCGATATATATAGGTTATGATTATCTAATCATCGGTTATTATATGAACGCACACAAACATCATTCAACTCTAAAATATCATCATCATCTTCGAGAAAGAAGTGAGAAGAAGAAAAAAACCTGACAATCATCATTTTACGATGAATGTTGATGTTATTTTTTCATTTGCGGTTTGCCCGGTGAAGATGAAGATGAAGAAAAACAAGATCATCATTCAAAAAAAAATAAAGGTTAATATCATTTTTATCATTATTGAATGTCAAATGTCAAAACCGTTTTTCTTTTTCCTTCTTTCTTTTTTAATCAAAATTTGTTTTTTTGCAGGGATTCAAGGGAGAGAACAGTCAGATGGATTTTGTTTCCCTTATAAAATGGATCATTCATTGGAAAAAAAACGAGGAAAAATATGAATCATCGAAATGGCTTTAAATGGAAAAAATTTCCAGAAAGAAGGAAAAAAACTTGACCCAAAAAAATCTTTTCGGGGAACAAAATTTTTGTTGTCCAAATTCGGTTCCTGTTCATTTTTCACCCACAATTTTTTCATTTTCATTTTTTTTTCTCAACTTTTTTCTTAACCTTGACTGATTTTTAAAAAGTAAGTTTTCCATTTCATTTTGTTTTCGTTTAAATGTTTCCATTGTCCACATGACCATAATAATAATGATAATAATGATTATCATCATCATAACGATGATGATAAGGTCAACCACACATAGACAAATGATGATTTGTTTGATGAAATTTGAATTGAAAATTCGTTTCTCATCAAAAAAATGGAAAGATGATCCGAATTTCATCAAACAAATTAAATATTGAAAAATTATTATTGATGATGATGAAAATCTGTGTGAAAAACAACAACAATAATCATCATTTTTAAATAATACACCTACACACACTGATTATTCTTCTTCTTTTTGTTAAAGGTAGTAAAAAGGGGAAAAAAGAACAGGTAGGTAGGTGTGTGTAGGTGTATGATTTAATTTCAAAAACATCATCATCATCCGCATCACGACCAATGTCAAATTATCATTATCGAATTAATTGATGATGATAATCATGGCAGATGTTTTTTGTTTGTTTCTAATGACAAAAACAAAAAACGGAAGGCCATTTCAATGTCATCATCACCATCATTCATTCATTGTTTTTTAAATCAATTGGCGAAAATTACAAAAACTAATTAAATTAATTAATCGATTACAAACTGAACACGAAAATCAAGAAGAAGACAGATGGGAAATTTTACTGAAATGATTCGTGTGCGCACATCCGAACATCCGATCATCATCAGCATCATTATTGATGAATCCTGACATTGCTTGATTGGGAAATTTTTTTTTTCAATTTACAAATCAAATCTATCGATATATTAGAGTCATAGACCGATATCCTAACAACAACAACAACAAAAGCAAAAATGATGATAATCTCTTTCGACGACCAGAGAGATAAAAAACCAGGAAGAAAATTTTTCGTTTTGTTTATGGCAAAAATAACAAAACAATAAACGAAAAACGAAACGAAACTGGGGAAAAATTTGTTTCCTATGAATATGCAAATTTATCAAATCAAAATATCAAGATATTTGATTCGAACAAAAATAAATAACGAAGAGAGCGAAAGAAGGGATAAAAATAAATAAATAATTCTGGCATCATTTCAACAACAGAAAAAAATTCTTGATTCGAAAGAATTTGATACACAGGCATTTGTGTGTAAATCTTCTTTTTTCCTGGTTTGGTTGTTTTTGGTTATTTGAAGATTTAATAAACACACTTACCCGTTCTTTTGCACGTAATGAATGTTTGGCAACCACTTTGGAGAAACCTGATGTTTTTGAATCGGCCATATTGTGTACCATATTTGTCTTTTTCTTTCTGTGTTTTTGAAAAAAAAAGAATCAATCAATCAAATGATGATGATAATCGATCAATCGATTTTTGTTGTTGATGACGATGATAATGGTGGTGGTGAAGAACAAAAAAAAATTGTTTTTTTTAACTGATTGAAAATGAAATGCACACAAAACCAAAAACAAAATTAACCACCACCAAACACACAACTGGATTAAATAACAAATCAAAACAACAGCAATCAACAATCAACAACGCCCCAATCACTGTTGATGTTGATGTTTTTTAAATGAAATTTCGAAATTTGATTTTCGATTGAAATAATGTGCCCAGAGAGAGTTGGTGAGTGAGAGAGGGAGAGAGAGAGAGGGAAACAAACAAACAAACAAAAACCATAAACACAAACAAACCACCAAAAATGAATTTCTATTTTTTTTCGTTTTTGTAGAAAATTTTTTCAAGTTTTTTTTCAAATTGTGTAGGTGATTCGCTTTTTGTTTCAAACACCAAACAAACAGACAGGTAGGTAGGTAGATAAGGGGGCGTGATACAATCGATATGTGTATGTAGAATCACCTTTTTTTGTTAATCAATTTCTAAATATGGTCATCGGAATGGATGATTCAATCGATTCGATTCTCGTTGTTATTGTCGTAGTTGTTAATCAATCAAGAGCACACAGTGTTAATAAATTTTTTTGGACATTAAAAAAAATTTTCTTGAAATAGAAATTCAAATGAATGAAGTGAAAACAAGCGAAAAAATGCATCAACAACAACAAGAGATTCTTGCCTCGATTGGTTCGAAACAAAAAAACATCTGTGTGGTTTGTTTGTTTGGCTGATGATGAAAATGTTTCAATGTTTGCCAACACTGTTGTGTTTAGTTTAGTTTTGGCTCAAAATATTTACTGTTTTTTTTGTAACAGCGGTGGCTGGCTGGTTGTTTCTCTTTTGTTGGCTGCTGCTTTTTTCGGCTGCCCTATCATCACTTTAGTTTTCTTCTTTTTGATGAAAATGAGGATTGGCGAAAATTGCTCTATCGAGGAGATTGTCTTCGAGAGAAAAAAGAGCAAACTTCTTCTTCATAATGATCATCGACGAAGTCTACATCCATGGTATAGTTGGGGCAAAAAATATTTCTGTTCTGTTCTGTTCTGGTCTGGTCGGCCCCCACATTTTATCAAAATCAACCAATATAGAACAAGAAGAACAAGAATTTTTTTTTTCATGCCCTGTCCATAAATTCTTGCCAATTGGTTTTTGTTCAAAATCTTCTTGTTGTATATAGCGAGAAAGAAATGATGATGGATGTGGATTTATTTCTCTCCGTTGCTTTTCCTTCCTAATTTTTTTTTCTCCGGTAAAATCAGAAACTAACCTCTACCTCTTTCATTCAGAGGGTTATTTTTTTCTCTCTTCTGAATAGATTTAACACAAACACATACCGGTCACACATAACTGTTATTTTTTGGGTTGAAAACTGGATTAATTCGTTTTTTTTTCACTTTATGGTTTGTTAATTTTTTGATTTTGTTTGGTAACAAAGTTTTTTTTTTCTTTAAAAAAGAATCAAATCAAATCCATTCAGTTTATTAAACCCATTATGATCATCATAACGTTAAAACATGAAAAACCAAACAGAACAGAACAAACAAAAATCATTGTTCAATGTCAAAGTTTACAAACAAACAAACAATAAAGGGAAGAAAAATTCTTGAAATTTTTATACAATTTTGTCATTGTTGATTCAAATTCAAGACGATGACTTGATCAAAAAACAATAAAAAAAACTTGGCTGACATTCATACTGATATTCTTCAGTCTTTTCGGTTTTTTGTTTTCTGTTTTTGTTTTCGGATTTCAAAATTGAATTTTTTTTCCCAATAAAATTGAATGTACGAAAGTAACATCGTCATCGTCATCATTATCATCATCATCGTAGTTTTCAATTATCATCCAGCAACGACAACAACAGTCGATGGATGATATAGATTTCTAAAAATAATTTTTGTCAACAAAAAAAAAGCTATGGATGGAATGTCTCTCTTCTCTCTCTCTCTCCCGCACTATTATCATTGGAAAAAAATGCGATAAAATTATTCGAGTTCACATCACACACACACACACTACCATCATCATCGTCATTCACAAGATTGAATACCGGAATAAATTACTTAGTAATGATCATCATCATCATTGTGTTTTTCGGTCTACTGCCATCAGAAGAAGTGAAAATATCGTTCACCAAAAAGGATTTTGTTTTTTTTGCCTGTTGAAATTCTTAATGCAAACAAGGGAATTCTTATATATAAGGATTACACACGAACACACAGAGACAAGACAAGAAAAACACATTTTTCATTGTAAGGAAACATGCAAATATGTCATTGTGGATTCAGCTGGGTTAATTTTTTTTTTTCATTAAAAAATTATAACAGTAAACGAAAATATGGCCTTAATTTCTCTCACTCAAAATATTTGTTATAATTAACATTTTGGTTGGTTAACCATTAGGATATTCTTATTTTACATTTTCAAATTTATCGTCTCTCTCTCTCTCTCCCACTTCTCAAGACCTGGATTTTCTCGTTCAAAAATTTTTTTTTTCTGCTTAAATAATGATGAGAAAATATGCAAAAACATCACAAAATTGAATAAAGGTGAAACATGAAAAACATCAACCGAATCAAGTTGATAATCTTTTTTTTTTTTTTTGATATTGATAATGATTACCCGCGATTGATGTCAAATTGGTCAAAATCAAATTTATTTTTTATTTTTTTTCGAAAATTTCGTTCCTCGCACTGCCAGTTATCATTTTTTTTTTTTTTTTTTTTTTTTTTTTTTTTTTTTTTTTTTTTAAAAACCCCCTTTTTTTTTTTTTTTTTTTTTTTTAACCACCCCCTCCCCCCCCCCCCC